GACCTGTGTAGTTCAAATGCCAGTTGTTCAAAGGTCAAATATATATAATACAGTGTTGTTAATTATAGTCACTTGTACTTTTTGACCCACTTCACCCATCCCCCACATACCCTTGCCTCTGCCAACCACCAATTTGTCCTCTGTATCTATAATTTCAGTTTTTTTTTTTAGATTCCACACATAAGTATGATCATACAACATTTGTCTTTCTGTGTCTGGCTTATTTCACTTAGCATAATGCCTCAAGTTCCATCCATATTGTTGCAAATGGCAAGATATCATTCTACTTATGGCTGAATAGTATTCCATTGTGTGGATGTGTCCATATATACGCGTATATATGTACACATATATACATATATATGTATATATATCACAGTTATATATATGTGTGTGTGTGTGTGTGTGTGTGTGTGTACACATATACAATTAATCACAGCTTTTCTATCTATTCATCTGTTGATGGATACTGATGTTTCCATGTCTTGGCTATTGTAAATAATACTGCAGTGGACAAGGGATGGATATAGAGCCGTCTTTAAGTCAGTATTATTAACTCATTCTGGTTATCCAAGGATTCATCTATTTATCAGAAAGAAATATTACACGAACCTTTTTAAATGCCATTTTAAACCTCGTATTTCAGAACCAGATGTTAAAGAATCTTTAAATCATGCTTCAAAGTTTCTATCTCATATTAACAGACTATTATTTACATGCACTTGTTCACATTTTAAAAACAAAATAAATGCAGTTTATCAAATTTTCTTTCTTGCAGACATTTTGAAAGAGTATTTGGGCTAGAATAATTCTAGAGTGAGTATAAAATATATATATTTTTAAATCAAGTAATCCACAATTTCCCAAGTGAGGGGAAAAGAGGAGGAAAACAGAAAAAAAAAAATTAAAAAGGGGAGAGGATCTGGTTTTAGGCAACTGAGAAATTATCTCTGTAAAGTCCTAATTCTCTTCCTTCTGCAAGGATAGTGGAGAAAGTTTAGATGCAGAAAAACACATTGCAGTTGATTTGAAAATACTCAGGCACAATCTACAGACATGCTGCCCTGAACGTGCCCGATCCCTTCTGATCTTAGAAGATAAGCAGCATTGGGCCCGGTTAGTACTTGGATGGGAGACCACCTAGGAATACCAGGTGCTGTAGGTGTTAAAAAAATATTCAGGCCTTTCACAATTATTTTAAGTAAATTTTTATTTTTGAAATAATATTAGAGTAAATTTGCAAGGATAGTACAGAGAGCTCCTCAATAACTCTCACTTATTTTCCCCTATAGTTAAAATCTTACATAACTGTGGTACATTTGTCAAAATTAAGACTGTAACAATGGGACAGTACTATTAACTAAACTTGAGACTCTAATCAGATTTCAGTTGTTTCCCCAATAATATCCATTTTCCATTCCAGGATCCAGTTTAAGACAGCACATTTCATTCCATTATCATGTCACCTTAGTTTCCTCTGGTCTGTTATAGTTTCTTAGTTTTTCCTTGTTTTTCATCATTTTGATAGTTTTGAGGAGTACTGATCAGATATTTTATAGAATGCCCGCCATTTTTGGTTTACGTGATATTTTTCATGTTTAAACTGGGTTATAGGTTTTTGGAAAGAATACCACAGAGGCGAAGTGCCCTTCCCATCATATCCTATCAGGAAGTATATGAGATCAGTATAACTTATCATTGGTGATATTAATCTTGACCACCTGGCCAAGGTAGTGTTTACATGTTTCTCCACTGTAAAGTCACTCCACTTCCCGCTTTCCACACTCTACTCTTTGAGAGTTAGTCTTTAAGCCCAGCCACGAGGGAGAGGGGAATTAAGTTCTACCTCCTGAAGCGGGGTGCTGTACTATATTAAGCTGAATAGTGGTCCCCAAAGGTACCTATATTCTGACCTTCTGTCAATGTTATCTTTTATGTCAAAAGGGATTTTACAGATGTGATTAAACTGAGTATCTTGAGGGGATGAATATCCTGGATTATCCAGGCCCTAAATAATTAATCACAGAGATCCTTATAAGAGGGAAGTAATGTCAAAACTGAGAGATAGTGATATGACAAAGGAAGCAGAGATTGGAGTGCTGTGGCCAGAAACCAAGAAAACAAAAGAAGACAAGATATGGTTTTAAAGCCAAATTTTACACGAGGACACCAAGTTTGATCAAAATCCCCAAATCCCTGGAAATGAGTAGTAAACGAGAGTAATTTTTTACGTGTTAGATTGGCAATAACTATGAAAATCAATTATATCTAGTGACGGTGAGTATGTGGGGACGTAAATAACTGTTAGGAATATAAATTACCCTCACTTTAAGGGAAAATAATCTGATAATACATCTTAAAATTTTAAATGTGTGCATTCTTTGACAAAGCAATCCCATCTTTAGAAATTCATTTTAAAAAGTGAAAGCACAAGTTCTTAAAGATAAATGTAGAAGGATGTATATTGAGGCATTCATTATATTAATTATAATGCTAGTATTTTATTTTTAATTTGGTGCAAAATGGTGTTTATTATCATACTTTCTTCTATACATTTTATTTCTCCACATAGTTAATCCATCTGCAAATCTTATCTCCATCACCTCCAAAATTTATTCTAGATTCTACTATTACTGTTTAGTAGTTTTGTCTACTACTTTCTGCCAACATTATTTTTCCTGGTCAATAAATATAGGTCAGTATATAATATTTTTTATATTATAAATTATATAATATTTCTACCTTGGATATACTAAAAATTATTTAAATATTCTATCATTGCTTTAAATCTCTTGCTATTATAATTAATAGGTAGTATCAATTACAGTAGTGTTTACTTTTAATTTTAAAAAGGATTGCATAAATTCATGCTGACAAACAATATTTATAATTTTTCCTGCAATCACTGGATTACTCTGGTTTTATTGGCAAGAGTTATCAGGTGAAAACTATCCCTAGACGAACATTGGAGGAAATATTCTTCAATATTTTGTACATATAAAGATAATGTTAGCATTGTAACTTAATTGCTGTCTAAAGCAATGTTCTCTCTTTGTTGTAAAATTATCTCTTTCAAGGAATACTTTGTGAACCTTGGTTTTAAGACTTCAGGATTCATGGTTATGTAATTTGATAAATGAATTTTAAACATTACTCAACATTGAAGACACTTGCTATTTTTATTTTCTATAACATGAAGTCTATCATCTCCTTAACCATATTTAATTTCCATTCTTAGAACTTCTTTAGCTCTGCTTTTTTTCTTAAGATCAGAATCACAGGCAGCATTCTGGTGATGATTCATGGTCTAGTACAGTTTACAAAACTCTTTCCTCACTAGCTAGGTTCAGCATTTTGGTGGCTGCCTTGATCACAGTACATCATTTGGGTGATGTCTTCACTACTTGTGGGCATTGAAATCATCTGCCACTTTTTTCACTAATACTCTTCTCTATGATGTCAAAAGGAAAAGGGCAACTCCCCCTGCCCCCCCAAAAAGCCCCAAGGAATTTCCAGAGGACTATCTTCATTATTCTGTTATCGTTAGAAGGGTAACGTTTGTACAATAGTTTATAATTTACAAGAACCTTTACATATTTCATGAGACCTCAAAACAACCTTTGAGGCAAGCAGGATCATGCTCACTTTACAGATGAAGATAGTTTAGAAAATAGCCAGAAATTACATTTCTGGGATCTGAATCCTCTGCGCTTCACATTATATTATACTGCTTTCCACCACAACCAATCAGGGACTCAGGTTGTTGTTGTTCGTTTTGTTGTTGTTGTTTTCCTCAAAACCATTTCCCTTGCACTAGTTCCCTTTGGAATAGCAGCCTTTCTGCTTTTACTCTCAGCGTTATCGTCAAACTCACGAATTCACTATGCTATTTATAATTTATGAGTTCTTCTAAAGTGCAAAGCAGCACCAAGGTAGCAAATAATCATTGGTAATGTTTACACTTGTCAATGCTTAACACAGAAAAACATTACTGTTTTACCTCACGTAAAACATCAGTGGTATATAGTGTGCGTGTTCTGTTGGGGATGCCTGAGGAAATGGCTGTGAACCAACATAATGCCAAATTAAGTAACTTGAACTTTATCTTGTTCAAGTTCTCATCTCTTCTGTTGAGTTTCCTCTGATGAGCACAAAATGCAAGATCCGTTCTAACTTCTTTTTCTTATAGTTGATGTTGGCTGTACTCTCCAGAGCCCATTGCTCTCTTAGCTGCTGCGCCTTAATGCCTTCTTTTTCAGTCTTCCAGGATTCTGCTCTTTCCTGGAAACGCTGGTCCGCTGGACAGTCGGGGAGGGAGTTCCCAAGCTTCCAAGCCATTCTTATTTAGTGCCTTAGGTCACTAATGTACTTCTCTCTGGCTGTCCCTGAAATGCTTCGGCCTCCATTAGCTCACCCTAATTTACCGAGCCCCAGCTTCTCCTGACCGTTTCTCGAGCGCTCTTCAGTTCAGTCTGTATTTGCTCTGAGAAGCTCAGCCCGAGGTAGCAGTCTCTGTGATTCGTCGTGTTTACCAGTCCATTCCAAGACCTCAGTTCTTGGCACTTCAAAGAGCTCTTCAGATTTCCTGGGACGAGGTTCTTCCTCATCCCCGACGCGGAGTCTTCACCTTCCTCTCCGAACTGAGCACCAGAAAATCCTCGGATTGCCTACCTCCTCCTCCTACTTAATCTTCCGCTCGGGGACCTACCCCAAAACGCGTTCGAAGCCTGCGCATGCGGACTCGGCGGCCGCCACCCAGACTCCCCGCCCGCCCGCCGCGGCAGTTTGGAGGTCCCTGACAGTTCTACCGCGGGCGGACGCAGTCTCGTCTCGTGCTTCCACGTTATCCTATCAGAGACGGGGCGGGGTGATGACTTCCGCAGCCTATCAGCGCGAACCACGACCCCGGAGAGTCCAGTAGGAGAGGGGCCAGGGAGAAGGCGATTGGACGATGGCGAAACTTGGGGCGTAGCGTCCCCCGGGCCCCGCCCACCGCTGCCTTCCTCTGCTGGGTGCCAGCTGCTGCTTAGGCCTGAACGAGAGCGGACTGCGGGCGGGCGCAGCTGCATTTAGACAGCCAGCGGGGGCTGGTGGGCCCCGCACCCTTGCTTCTCACCGCCGCGCCCTCGGAATGGTGGCCCTCGGCTCTGTGACTAGCCGACTGGGCTCGGTGTTTCCCTTCCTACTGGTCCTGGTGGACCTGCAGTACGAAGGTGAGTCCTGCCCATACCTGGCGAGAGGAGCGGGTTCCGGGGTCCGGCACCCCCGGCGCTTTCTTGCCAGAGTCCCGGCGCGAGTCTTCGGGCGATCTGGGCGGTGGGGCGAGAGCCGGGGACTCCGCGGCCGGGCCTGGGCCTGAGCTCGCCCAGTTCCGGGTTTGTCTGGGGAAGAGTTGCCGGGATCGGCGGGCACGGGGCCGGGTCGGCCGGTTTGGAGTGAGGAGCCGGGCCAAAGGGGTGCAATGAGGCTGTGGGAGCGGGGCACCGGGCAGCGACTTTTGGAGCGTCATGGAACGCAGAGCCTTGGGCAGCCGTGGGGTCCGGCTTCGCTTGGGACCACCTGCTTGGCGACTGGGGACACTGTTGGTCAGTAGTGCTGGGAGGAGGCGGTAAAGGTGGCCAAAGGGGAGGCTTCTTTGACGTTAGAGTTCCGGGGGTTGGGGGAGGAAGTATATCCGCCTGAATGAAGAGAAGGGGACAGTGTTGACTTTTAAGAGTAACATTATTGTACTCTAGGTCTTGTATAGAAGTTGTTGGGTTGGTGCGTTAAGGAGACGGTGTTGACATTCAAGCGCCCGGAGGGAAAAAGCACTAAGTTTGTTGATATTACAACTTTCAGCATGGTGTCATTTAATTTCGGGCTGGCTTTCCTTTTACGAGTTTTCTGGGGTGGGTGGTGGGGAAGGTCCCCCTAAAAAGATACGAATTTTTAAATTTCACTTAAGTCCTACATATTGGATTGTTAGTTGCTCTAACTGAATAGCGAAAATAGAGGGCTGTCCTATCTTAGGTATCAGCGGAAGGAGTAAGAACTCTGAAAGTGCCAATTGAACTAATGCTCCTAGCTTGGTTACTGTGCAAAATAATAGAGTATAATGACATATCACAAGCACTGATCTATTTTTATCCCCCTGAAAAGGGCTAGTAATCAAGGAGGTAAAATTAAACTTTTTAATATGAGACTTAATATTAGAGGGAGTGAGTTGCTGAAGTGAGAATTGTTTCTGGTAAAATTTCCTCAAATTCTAAACTTAAAAAAGTAAAACTCCAACTTTGAGACCTCATTAATGGCAAGTTTTTCTTGTTATTGTTTTTTGGTTCCCTAGTGACTGTGTGTGTGTGTGTGTGTGTGTGTGTGTGTGTGTGTGTGTGTGTGTGCGCGCGCGCGCACGTATTATAAAATCAAAGTTTAGAACATATTATTACAACATTGGGACAGAATTTGACAGACTGCTCCAGAAAATCTAGGGAATTTGAATATGAATGCCTGGACCACATTAATATGGGTCATGTGTTTCAGTTCTTTTGCATTTTCTAATGGTAACCTCCTCCTCCCCAAATGGAGCAGTTATGTCCAGTTACCACTAATGATTTATTTTGTCCTCTTAACAGTAAGTTGCCTATGTTTTGTTTAATGCCAATTATTTTTTTTTAACGTACAAAGGTACACACTTTTGTATGATTTGCTTTTCCCCTAGTTTTTGGGCTACCTTTTTAGAATTTCTGTTCCGTATTGGATTTTGTAGGACTCTTAACACTTCATTTCCATCCTGTGGTATTTTCCATAAGAAAAACCTCATTAGAGAGCTTTTCTGTGTAGGAGGCATTGATGATACTTCTCAGGAGTGCCAGAGTGAGAGCTCTCTTCTTTAGGAGCGTTGCCTGTATAAAGTAGCAGAGACTTGGTACGGGAGGTAGGGAAGAAAAGAAAAAGATCTCATTTATTGAAGGTCTGCTGTGTGCCAGGCACCTTTCTGAATGATCTCTTATTCATGGAGGTACGTGATATTATTCCTACTTTACAGATGAGGGAACTGAGGCTCCAAGAGTTTAATTAACTTGTGTAAGGTCATATAGCTCTTAACTCTTAAGTGCCTTAGGTTGAACTGAATTTATTTGGCTCTAAAGTTCATCTTGTGTGCAAGCTGGAGACACAAGTGGTTGATATCATCATGTAGACCCAATCAACTGTAAGTGGTGGCAGCTGAGAAAAATCAGCATTTTTTTTTTTGGTGGTTTGCTACCAGCAGTAATGAACAGAAAGGTGATTTCCTGGCATGTTTAATACAGTGGTTATCAAACTTGTTTGTACATCTTAAATTCAGCCTGCAGGGCTTTTAAAAACAGTACAGGCCTCCTGCCCCCTCCCACAGTTTCTGATTCAGCAGCTCTGGTGGGACATGAAAGTTTGCATTTCTAAAAATAAATCATTGATGAGAATCACTGGCGTAATAAGTTATATAGAGGAGTTAAATTAGGTGTCTGCTATATACTAGATACTAAATTTGGTGACAGGACTCTAAAGATAAAGAAAGAACCTCTGACTTGCATTAGCAAACTGTTAGCTCCTGTTTTTCCAAATAGTTCTGTCTGAGTTCAGCAACCTCAAAGTCCTCCTGGAGGCATTCATGTCTGCATGATTGTGCTACTACACCTGAGGCTTGGAGAAAGAATAAAGGAGAATGGGTGAAAAGAGTGAATGTGAAACAGTTGCATATGATGGAGAGTGTCACCAATAATTAGCTTAGTTGGCCCAGTTTTTTTTTTTCTGATTTAAAAATATTCATCTTTGGTTTTTCCTTAGGCTTTTCTGTTACTTATAATCCAGAGAAAGAAAATACGTAATAGGTTTATGAATTGAAAGATCAAATCTTTCAGAAAGGCCTTTGAAGGAGGGAAGTCCAAAGCACTAGATTAGGAATAGAATTTTTGGAGCAGAAAGAAAACTTTAGTAGTATCTGCTTTAGTATTCTCATGTTACAGATAAGGAAGCTATTTTAATTCTTTGCTAATGGGTTGTTCTATTTGGTGTCTTGAGTGCCTGGGAACCAACCCTTCTTTTATTTCTTTTTCTTCCTTAGCATGCTACCTGGACTCACTCAGTTTTTCATTATTTCACTGAACTGACCTGACTAAGCTATGTATTTGGCCATAAGGAAAAGAATAGTTGAAAGTCTATAAGTATAAAAGATGGTGATAATTTTTATACAAACCTACTAAAAGTATGTTTTGTCTGCTCTAGGATTTTCTTGACATTATTTAAATAGGGAATGACTACTAATTTTACTGCATGAGTAATTTATATAAACTAAGTATTCTAGCAGATGGTCAGATAACTTCTAGAATTATTCTAAATCCTTTTAATGAAATAGGCTATAGTTAGCAATAGTCTCAGAGGTCCAATTCACTGGACTGGTTAGTCTAGTGAGTGCCTGGAAATGTAGTTTTAATTCTGTGGGTCAGGGAGAGTTGTTCTAAGATGCCCTGTAGTAATTAGGCTTTATTTTTCCATATGAAGTTAATTAATTGTGGTTAACTTTACTTTCTATAGCCATAGTTTTCTTTTGAATAATGTCTAACAATTAATCTTTGTTTATATGGAAATATCATGGGAACCCAGTCAGCTGCTCTTTAGAACTAAAACATTTCAACCATAGATTTATTTTTCTTTAGAGATCTTTAGAAAGCTGCTTTAATAAAAATTTCTGATGAATTTGTGTCATTTGGAGTTTGGAAGGGGGAGGATTCTCTTTAATCAGTTAGCACAGGCTTACACAGTAGTGCTCTTTGGTGAGGTATACATAGCATAGAACTCATGGTTTTTCTGGTTGAGTTTACAGACCACTTGGGGGTATAAGACATGCTTTGGGAAGCATCCATGTCCTCTTCCCTCCTTTCTCAGTTTAGATTTAGTGGTCCATCTTGTAGTCACTCCATTGCAAACAGCTTTTAATTTTCTTGCCCCTGTATTTTTTGTTTGTTTGTTTGTTTTACTCACTTGGCAAAATTGAACACCAATTAAATCCAGCTTGGCCAACTTTTTTGTTGTACTTAATTGCTGTACACAGATGGAGACAAATGGAGATAACCTTGCCGACTGGTATCATTTAAGCACATGATCTCAATTTCAAATGCACACTCAATACTGCCAACATTCCTACAGTTCCCTAGTATATCTGTTCTTGAAAATCAGCATTTCAGTCCTTTTCCTCTTTCTTTAAATCTCCAATTTAATCCTTCCTTTACTCTATTCCTTTACTTCATTCTTTTAGACCTTGTCTTTATTAAGAAAATGAAAGAAAGACATCACAGGGCAGTTTTCTTTCCACCACTAAATTCACTAGCCTACTTGTATGTGTACCTACACTGCTACTTTTCTTATATTAAAATGGATAAAGTATCTCTATTCCTGGAAAAATCCAATTCCTATACTTATGTCCTGGATTCCATTTCCTCTCATCTTCTGAAAATATTGCTCCTACAGTTACCGTTTCTCTCTTACGTCATCACTTTCTTCCTCTCTGCTGGATCATTGACATCAGCACTCCAACATGCTTGTAGTGTTTCCATATTAAACTGTCCTTTGATGTTATGTGTCCTTTCAGCTACTGAACTGTATCTTTGCTTCTCTGGACAGCAGAACTTTAGAGTTGTTGGATAGTCTCTTCCTCTATTTCCTCATCTTCTGTTCTCAACACATTGCGCCACTAATATGGCAAAGCCTTACATCTCTGACTCCTATTTGTTCATGCCTCTTTTCATCTTAATTTTCCCCGCCATCACTATGTTCCCACCACATCAGTTTCTTTTACTTCTAAATGCCAAGCTCATTTCTAACTAAGGTCTTTATTCTTGCTATTCCCACAGTCTGGGAAGCTCTTCTGAGATCTTGAAATGAGCATTTATGTTTCAGAGAAGCCCGCCTTGACGTGCTATGTAAATAGCACTCTCTCCTTCAGTTAATACTCTTCCTTTACCTTTTTGTATTTTCTTTATAAAATTTAACAGTGTTGAATTATCTTATTTATTTTTTTCTCCTCTAGAATGGAAAAAGCTTGTCTTTGTACCTGAAACATGTTGACATGAAGTGGATGTACAATAAATGTTTTTTAAATGGATGAATGAAGTTGACTGTTTGAGCTGTTTTTTTTTTGCATGGTCTCTTCTAAACTTATTTTCCCAGTTGAAATTCCTTGAGCAGGGAACCCCATCAC